CGAGGGCACGCCCGTTGGGGGCGGGGCGGTCAGCGTCCCGCCTCTTTGGGCGGGCCCCCGTTGGGCGCTCCCGTGGGAGGCGGGGCAAGACCGAAGGGCGGGATCTACATGGTCACGCCTCCTCGGGCGGAGCTAAATGCGAGGGGCGGGGTCTAGTGGGACACGCCCACTTGAGCGGGGAAACCGGGCGGTGTTTATCATAGGCCACACCCCTTTGGGGTGGAGCCTAGCGCGCGGGGCACCGCCTCCCGAACCACGCCTCCTGTGGGCGTGACTCGACTTGGCCACGCCTCGCGTGGGTCCTAGCCCCTTCCTCTTGGGGCTAGGGGCTCTCCGTAGGGGATCTGGGTTATTGCAGCTAATTCAGCACCGTGTACTCGGATAAGGACCTTTTTTTTTGTTGTTTTATAGCAAAAATATCGTTTTTTCTTTTCTTTTCCCCATTTTTTGCGCCTTGCCTTTGCACCTTTGCACTCTCGCACACCCTCCCGCCATGCTGGTGCCCCAGCGCAGGGCCCGCTCGCCGCGCGGCCCGGTGCAGATTTCGGGGCGCGATGCCCAGCCCTGGGCTTCCCTCGCGGGGACCGGAGCCCCCCGGGGCAGGGCGGGAGGGACTCCTCCCTCTGCGGCAGCTGAGTCCCGTTCCCAAATCCCCCGGGGGCTTTTCCCTTAAATGTGGCATTGAGGGAGCACTCCTTGTTCTGGGTTTTGCAGGGGTGGGTGTTCTTCCTCCCTTAGCAAAGTCTTCCTCCTCTTCCTTGAATTGCTGCCTATGGAGCAGTCCTGGGGGGCTGCTGCCTCCTCTCCTCTCTCCTAGGGGACCATCTTGGAAGAGTGGCCCATGGTGGTGCCATGGGGTGAGACTATGGGACTGTGGCCACCGTGGTGGTGGCACAGGGTCCTGTGTGCATCCTCTGAGGGGCTTTTTGTCCCCTGGGGTTGACATGTGGGGACAGTGGCCCCACATATGGATGGGGCTGTGGCACATAGAGATGAGCCTGCGTTTCTGCAGGCTGTGAGCTCAGCTCTGGTGCCAGGAGCTGCGTGTTGGAGGAGGACAATGACTCCTCGGGGCACCTGATCCTGCTGGAAACGGTAAGGAAGGCGCTGGTTCCAAGTGCCACCGGTTTGTGGCCCTGCTGCCATGGGCTCCGTCCGCTCCGCGGATCACCCTGGGTCCGGATGCTGGGGATGAGCTGCACGTGGTGGCCGTGGCCTCCAAGAACAGAATGAGCGGCCACGTGCTGGTGCCCATAGTCTTGCTGCGCTTCTCCGTGATGCCCATGGTATGAGCGTGGCAGTGACGGGGCCGCGGGGACTGCGATGGGACCTGCCACCCGCTGCCATCTCCCCTCTCAGATCAGCCTCGAGACCTGGAGCTTGTCCCTGCTGTCACCTTTGTGCTGCAGAGCAGCATGGGGCCCATCTACCCGCACGGGCAGCACCTCCTGCATGAGTGCCCCGCGGTGGGGACGGTGGCATCGTGGCCGCACAGTGCCCGCTCTCCTCTCCACAGTTCAGGATGACGGGCTCGATGCCGGCGAGGAAGAGGTGGGCGGCGAGGATGATGCTGGCATGGAACGGGACGGGGAATAGCAGTTGGCAGGAGCACCAGGGATGCTGGAGGGGGGTCTGCATGGCCTGGTGGGGACACAAATGCCCTGGCTTCGAGCGCTGTCCTCGCCCTCCAAGCGCTCGGGAAGGGCAGGTTCTCCAAGGCTTGGGAAGGGCAGGTCCCTGTGGCCCTGTGTTTGTGTCTGGTTCCATGGGGAGTGGTTACCTGGTGACCGCTGTCCCTGCGTCCTGCCATCCCTCGGTGTCCCTGTGTCTCCCCCCAACCTGCGCTGCCATCTGTCTCCGCATCCTTCTGTTCTGCGTCCTCCTCCCCGTGTCCCCGCGCGGCGGCCGCCATGGCCGGGCTCTCGCTGTTCCTCGACGTGCCGCCCGCCGAG